TCGCCCACTCTGAATACATCGGTATGTCACTGGTAAGAGCCTCGATACGTTCCAGAGCCTTTTGTTCGCCAACTATGTCACCATTTTCCCCCGTAAACGGGCGCATAAAATGCATTTACACGCGGTCTAAGTGCAACACAGCGCGGAGTGTCGCGGTTGCGACAAAGTGGCCGAGAACCGTGCCGAAGGATTCCATTAAAACCGCAAACGGAAACGGAAAACGCCTGTCACCAATTCCACAGCAACGAGATTGTTGCGCGGTCACGGTCCTCCTGTTTCGATTCGCGAACGTGTTTCACCTCTTTTCAGCAACGGCAGAGTAACACATCGGAGTGGACAGCTGCAACCAGATACGATAATGGGATGATTCATGAGAAATAACTGCACAAGACGGTTAATTAATACGCGATAAACTGCGCGATACACTGGGAACACGCACTATCCCGCGAAGAACAACACTATACCGAGCCGTTCAGAGGCCAAAGTAGACTGACTTCACTTTTTGAATTTTTTTTTTTTTTTTTAATTTTATTGCCGAACCACTTGCGTTGTCCTTAACTTTGCATATTCAACGCTTTAACAAATTCTAAAAGTGCATCAAAATTCTGTCGCCGGTTATTATCGAACTGTTGTCCGGAAGGATCCGTAGTTTTACTAATATAAAGTAGATCTCCATGTTTTAAGTTGAGAAGTTCAAGTATTTCCCCCAGAAATAAATAAAAAATGAAAAAATAGGTCTGTTTAATATCGATATTTTTGATTTCAAAATAACAAGATACAAAATATTCAGAGTGAGTCCATAAGAACTATTACCTAAAATAACTCCTTACCTATTGGTTGTATCACCAAACATTTTAAATACGTTTAAATATTACATTTAAAGGGACTCATTGAATGAAGGCAATTTGATTTTTCCATATCTTACATTTTCTGAGATCTGGTCGTTAAAGGGTTAACATAAATTTTTTTGATAATTTCAGTGAACTTCATCACATTGCCAAATGAACAGTTTATATATACATCGAAGAGCAATAGGATTCTACACGCGAATCGGAGACTGGTAGAATTTATCGCGCGTATTCGGCAAAACAAACGTGAATCTCTATGCTGGACGGTGTTGGTCAAGACGTGTGACGCGTGGACGTTAGTAAACAGGCAAAGTTACAGGAAAATCGCGTGTCTGGCTATAAATAGGTGCATCTACTTCGCGCGTGTCGAAACGCTGCAGGCACCTACAACCGAATCTGTTATTGATAAATAGACGCCTGGATGTTTATGCTGATTCGCGTGTTTTCTAGGCTGAATTTATGAAAACCGAAATGAAACGAGAGGTCACCGTTTGTATTAACTGTTTCCGTTTCCCGAGAACGTACGTGCATACGCGGTTGTCTGGAAAATTATAATAAAGATGATAACGCACATTCTTATTGTTATGCAACGTCGATGGAATAAATCGAAGATGTGATAAAACGAATATGGACAAAATTGGCATTTACAAGTACAGTTCTCCAGGTGTAACGCTGCCCTTTTAACACTTAACGGACGGGCCACGTAGATTTACGTTTTTGCTTGAATTTTTATCAAAAATAGTGTTGATTTAATAAAACTGCAACGCTTGAAAACCATGCATACATGTTTATTTAATTCTCTTAAAAAATGTCCGGAAACCGAGAAAGATAGAGAAAAAACAACCCGTCTGTTAAGTGTTAATGAGGTTTAGCACACTAATAGAGCTTAGAATTCTCAAGCCAATTATATTTCTTTCAGCCATATATGGCCATTGGCTTACGAAATATTTCATGTTCAGTGCCGAGGAGCCTTCGAACACTCATCGAGGATTAACTGTACACATTTTTACAGAACCAACTGTTTTCCTGGTTACATAGTGGCAAAAACCTTCACCAGCCCGAAATAAAACACCTCCACAATCTGTTTTGTTCCCGGAACGTGTGAAGTTTCGATTAAAGAGGATTAGTTTCGTCATCGTCGCGTTATATTTTCCCCGGGCCGTACGTGACCACCAAGCGCCGCTCGCAAGGCTCGAACGTAGCTGCGAATCCCGCGGAAACCTTGACAGAGGAACCACGACAAATAATCTCGTTACAGGTATCATCGCAATAGCATTAGCAATTTGGCTCGAATCACCTTGTCAAGCTTCCCCCGGTGAATTCGTCACGCCCATGGAGAGGGGTGGGTCCCCGGTGTTTTCGCCGGCAATTACTCCCGGTACGCGAGATCCGCGTCGTGAATTATTCATGGGGCTTTCTGGTCAAGAGACCGGCGCAAATTTCGGCTCCGAAAACCGTCAACATCCGTCGCGATTGCCTCGCCAGAAAACTTGGAAATATTTACGGAGTCCATGTACGTATCCCCCTCGATCGAATCTCATTACAGATTCGTTCACGATCACGTTTATTTTTTCTTTGTGGAAAGATATCTCGAATGATCGATCGTTCCCATTAAACGATTCCTCCCTCTCTCTCTCTCTCTCCCTCTGTGTGTAATATATAGGAACAAATGGGAGCAACCAACTCGTAATAAGTTTCTAACTTGCGTATTTGATCGATCGAGTTGTCCTTTGTTTTTATGGAATACACGCAAGTCTTTTGAGATTTGTGTATCGACTGACTCGATCCTACTCTTGATCCCCGTTCTTTATTAATACTAGAACTACCAAACTCATAAAAATGACGGAATTCAGATTCGTTAAAACACATTTTAACCTTGAAGAAATGGTTTCACACAGGAGGACCGAATATCAGCAAAAATGAAAAATTCCGAATCATCGAAGTCCCCTACAAATCTGAAGAGTTTGAAAGAAAACAGAAATCAAAATTTTCTGGGTATGTATACAAGAGAATAAAAAAACACATTTAAACCTTGAAGGGGTGGTTTCACCCAGAAGAACCGAATATCAGCAAAAATGAAAAATTCCTCTATACTTCCATCGCAGTCCCCTACAATCCTGCGGAATTTCAAACCAAAAAAAGTCGGAATATCTGGGGTATCGAGTTTCCCAAGCGAAATTTCTTGCGAGCCAGCGGTCTTACTTTGAATAGCTATCAGCGAACCACGCGTTCCACCGTCAGTCCGGTCCCATTATCGGAGAATCTGCATGTCCACCCCCGACACGTCACGACGAATTTGTTCAATCGTCCAGCAGTTCGCTTGGGGAAGGTGGTGGGATCGACCAGCGAACGAAACTCGCGTAAATCCCCGGCGAAACTTGTGCACAGAGCCCGGACATACACGTTTACACGTTGGGAAGCGTCGTCGCGGCGCAGTTTACTCGGCCAGAGAGCCACGGTCGATATTAGCATCGCAACTTGGAGAAGACTCGTCGAACGACAATACTCAACTTGCAATATCGCTTCGAGAAAGACAGAGAAAAAGAGACAAACGTAGGTGGTGGAGGAGAAGGGGAAACGTAAACAACGATACCCGAGCGTTATTGACGTTCCACACTGTCGCCATCGATAAAATTCCGTCCAGGCAATTATCGAGCCCGTTTCTCCACCGCAGAGATTAAGTTTCGATTGACGACTGACAATGCCTCGGGTACACGTTCATTGCCATGGCGACTATCGGCCGCATGCGCCCGCCCCACTGTTTCAAATTCACGATATACAGGGTGTTAAAAAAAACACACACACACTGTACTGAGTAAGAAAGACTTAATAAGTCAGAGGATCAATTATTTCTGAGACATAAACATTTTTGTATGTTAACATCATGATTGACTTACTATTGGCTTTTCGATATTTGCAGGTGTTCCACGTCTCCTCCTTCAATTTCCATAGACAATTGGTATGTTCTTCTTACAGAAATCGCGAACTCCCTCGAAAATGTCATATCTCTGTCGAATTATTCGACAAGCATGGTAGATTCAATTATGTGATTCTGCTAAGTCATTAAATGGTTTTTTTAACACCCTGTATATTACGGAAGTACATACTACCACCTTCCTTCCCGCCCCCAGGGGGTTGGAGTCGCGCGCAAATGTACAAGGTCGCGCGTCTGACCCAGAAAAACAATGGCTGAATGCGCCAATGCGCGTGATCCCGATGCCGCATTCCGGGCGACTTTCAATTTTCTCGCGACGAATTCCGCGCGATTTTTGATCGTAAACTTCGAAATTGGAGTACAAACGATTCATGGGACGAACAGACGAGAAATAGAAAATTCACAGAGATCTATCAGAAGTCTTCAGCAATCGAACGATACAACACCGAATCTCTATTGAAATTAAGAGACTAAAGATTCCCAAACGTGCACTCAACAACAGAACCGAATACAGGCAAGACACGACCACGGTTAAAGATCCACAAATCCCATAAGCTTCACGAGAGATCTTCGATCTAAGGTACGATACATATTGGATCGGACGAAAAGTTTGTGCGTCTTTGGTGAGACGACTTTGTACCACAAGAATTTATCGAAGATGGTATTAAGAAATTCGTGGAACAGTGGAAAAGAGTAATATAGACACTAATGGAAACTATGTCATTCGTTAAATAAATTAGTTTCCGTAAAAACAATAGAATGGTATTTATTTAACCTCTTCAGGGACGAATTTGTTAACGCTAGAAGTACCAGCATTGAATGTATATTAAATTAAATTGTATAATAAAATAATATACTAAAATAAAATAAAATCTGTAGTAAATTAAAAGCTAACAGAAATTCCGTCGAAAGCACCATTATGATTTCAGAAATGGTCAAATTCACTATCTAATCAATCTGTAATCCGTTATTTTGACGGGTTTGATAATTCTAGGATTAATAATCAGAAAAATATGCTTTCGAAAAGAAAAATTAAATGTACACATACATGTCGGTATCCCTCAAGAGGTTAAAATAAAAACGCACGAAATTTCCATTCACCGTGATACTCACTATCCGACACGGAAGCGTGCAATGACAGCCGTAAGTATATTCCGAACCGTATATCGTAGGGGTAGGAGGTTAAATGGCCCTTGACGTTAGCACCCACCACGTACCTGTGACAGAAGGCAGATGAACACGCACACACGGTGATGGATAGCAAGTGAGACACGTGAGTCCTTCTCCAATACGGAAACCAGAAAGCCGTGTCGTGGCCAAGGCAAGCCGTTATGTATGTATACGCGTCGACACGCTGTGTCGCACGTGGAATCGTTTCACGGTGTGGCCTCGAGCGTGGGATGTCTCTCTTCGTGTATGTAGATATGCACACGTCGTGCACGGTGCGTGCAAGGGAAGCACGGGACCCGCGCGTCCTACCTCAACCACGTCTGACACGCGAATGAGCACCCGCGGAAGAGCGATGTCGCGAGAAGGCGCGGGAGAGAGCCGCCAAGGGGAGGAAGCTAGAGAACGCGCGCGGCGCAACAGACGAGAGAACCTCCGACCGGTCGTTCGCTATAGACTGACCGTGATTCGTCGGTTTCCCTTAGGACACGCGGCTGATTGGTCCACAAGGCCCAGCGGAATATGTGTGTGTGTAATATGTCTACACAGTCAAAATGTGTACACTTGTCAATGTATGCGTTTATGCATTTTCTTGAACTACATTTCGTTTTACACTGACACTTCATGAAATCTTTCTCTGATCATGTTGACTGTTCATTTGGCACTGTACCAAGTGACAGTTCTTGTGTTCCTATTATGCCAAAGTTTATGGGTTATATGATTCATAGGAACAAATACTAGTAAAAGTGTTTATAGAAATTAACTACATTTTTGTTTCTGCATGCTTTTACTAAATCAGAAATGTAAAAGCCTACGAGAAATGTAAAATTTACTAACCAGATCCGTAAATGACATACATTGACTAGAAAATGTATACATTTACTGAATTAACGCTGTTACGTTTTGTCTACGGGTAATCAAACATCGCCGGATCTTGCGACAACTGACACCGTCGCCGAATGGGTCGATAAGCGATAACGGTATCGAAGAAAACTGGTTACACTAGTAGCGAATACCTCTCCCGTGAACATTTCGATGGAGAATATTCAATGGAATTGCCGTTCCGATGAATGGAGACACATATGGATGCAAATAAGAGGGATTTATTATAAACCTCGAAATTCCATGAAACCCAAGAATGTTTCGAGTTTCGAGACTTCAAAACTTTGCATTTTTCTTTCGTGATTAAAAATGTGTGAAACACAGGTTAAAAAAAATATAAAATCGATGAATAAAGAGAACCGTTTAGTAAAAGTGCTTCGACATGGAAACGGAAATATGGATTGATCCATAGAGAATTGGAGACCAGATCTTGATACTCTCGCTGGATAGATTTATAAATATTACAGTGGTTTATCAGGTGGTCTAGACGTTACTGTTTTCGTGCTTTAATTCCACACGTAGCTGATTACTGAAAATAGCTAGAGTATATTTAGATCGTTTCGGAATACCAGACGGAGAGATTTGTAAACTCGTGATGATAGTACTGGACACTACAGGCGAGTACGAAATTTTAACGCAACAGTTCCCGTTGACCTGAATATACTAGTGTTTTCAAATTACAATCTCGGTATCGCGTATCGATCGATCATAACAGTCCCCGATTAGAAAAGATAACCCAGCAAGGAAGAACCATTTCTGTCGATGAACACGAGTGGCGAGCGTAACGGGAAATAACCGACGGTTGTAACACGCGGGAGTGGGTTTTTTGCCAATCAGCCACGGAAAACCGCAAATAATTCGTAACTATCCGCGATGGAAACGCCTAGTAGACGATCGAAACTGCGGTGGAAATAGCCCTCGCCGTGACCACGGATCGCAATTAACCCCGGGAGTGTACGTCAGGCTTGTTGATAGCCGGCTGAACCACTTCGCCGCTATCTTGTTATAGATTAGGAGGAGCCATTGCGTGCACAGCGCGGAAGGCGTGTCAGCCGTAACGACCAATGAGTTGGAAACCGCGAGCCACGGGGAATCAATGCGTCGATAGCGACGAGAGAATCGGAGACAATGTGTATACGAATGTTCTTGGAGGTTGATTCAACTTTCAAGCACTTTCTTCTCCACGAAGACGAGAATCTGCAGAGTCAGTCGAAAGTATGAGATGGGGTATGAAATATTTAACCCTTTCGGTGTTCAATAAAATTACGAAATGTGGTCCAAAAATGTTCCAATTTTTTTATCGCTTAATTTAGTCCCGTTTGTCATAAAAATAGGGAAAACATATATTTTAGATTTATGTACAGAGTGTCCCATGAAAGATGGAATAATCCGCAATATGCCTATTCCTCATGCAAGTACAAATCGAAAACTCCTTTACCGTTTTGTAATCTGAAGTTTCAGAAGATAAAATTTGTATACATAAAATTTGATTTACACTTACAGAAACGTTTTGACTGCCAATACAATTTTCGATAGGAAAAGAAGTTTTCATTTTCGTGTTTTTCATGTGATATAAACTAAGGAATAGTAGAATAAATTGTTTGGCATGGCATACGGGCAAAAGCAGCGAAAGGGTTCATGAGACTACCGTATATATAGTACAAGGCTTTCGTAGATGTCATCTCGTCTTGGGGAAATAATATTCTCCGCCTTCATTAATTACGAAGCTCGAGCACGTACTTTTAAATCGTAATGTAATTAAAATCTTGTAAAGGGTTTCAATTCAATCTATTCGTAGGTGTACATTTCATCCCCTAAAGGAACAATCTGTAACGCAAACAGAAACTTCTGCATTAAGAAACGTCGATTGAAACATTTTTGTCAATCTGATGACCGATTCGTCATTCTGTAATATAAGTAACAATTATAATTATTTAATAATATTCCGATGTTATTACACCATTCCTATAATTAAAATGTAATTATACGGTCCCTGTTCGCGTTGAAAAGTGAATTTAATTATGATTTAAATTATTCAAACCGTAACAGTCCCGAGCATGAATTACGTTAACGAAGTGAAGTGTTCAAAGCGACTAAATTATTCTAGACGAATCCACGCTCCACTTTTGCAATCGAAACCACCTATAATTAGTGCAATCGTGTCTTTAACATCGAGGTCGAAACGTTTATCAGAAATTTTCATGTTTACAGATGCACATTTTATCTTTATTTCCGAATATTACAGCCACGTTCCAATGCACGGTTTTTCATTACACGAGATTGCGTAATAGCCCGATACAGATAACCTTGCTCGAGGTCGCGTCAATACTGGAAAGAATATACGGCAACTAAATGAAAAATTCCTTATCGTGGGACCACGCCGATATCGGGGACGGTCGTTTATTGCCGCCGCCAATATCGACGCTTTCATCGAATTATCGACGTAACAGTTAAAGTGCAATAAGCAACTTTGGCGAAACATTTTTCTGGCGTCGGTGAAATAAAACAAAAAACGGGAAAGAAAGAAAAGGGCACATAAAGGCCTTACTAAGAAACCAGAATTAGGTTCGAGTGAACAAAACTATGCCATCTTAAGAATATTCGAGATTTCTTTCTAACACCCTCAATTTTAATTATACAGAAAATCGGGAAGATATTTAGAACTTAAACTGTACTGTCACTACATATTGAAACCATAGTGAAATACACCTAATAATAAAATAATCCCCTCTCTATTTTGCTCGTACAATTTACCTTGTGATATACATAATTTTCATAAAACACACAAACAAAATAATAAAACGTGTAAGAAAATTTCTTTTGCTCTGTCGCAAACAGGGATCGAATCGAGTATTCCACGCATCTTCAATTCGTCCCTGAAAATATATATCAGAAGTAATATTCCCAAAGGTATTCTAGAGGCAGGCAGCCGGTTATTTACGCGAGGGCTTACAAACCGAGCGTGGACTACGCGGCTGGCAGAGGATTTACATGAGAAATTTCACTATTTCCACCCCATTCCCAGTTTTATGTTCGCCAGCCATTTTGTTTTCTTCTTGCACCCCCATTGAATCCATTCTTCGCCCTCGGAATTCGATTCACTTTGTGTCCACACAATTGTGAACGCTGACCTTGTCGTCCGTCGCGACATAATCAGTCTTCCTACCCACAATTTCATAGTGTAACGTGATAATCGCGACACACGCGTACCTACACACGTTCACGTCACGCAGCTCCGATTTCATGTAAATGAATGCGCGTCGCCGTATCTACTAGGTTGTCGTCAGCGAGCCTGATTACGAACGTCTTCTGCATAAGAACACGAGCAATTAACACTAGAACTACCGACGATAAACGTCAATTTATTTCTATCCGAAACATGACAAACTTTTAAAAATCTACAAATTTATGAACTAATGTCTTCACTTACACATTGCATAAAAAAATTGTAAAAGATTTGAGAAACTAAGTTCTTGTAACATTTTAATTATCTTATTTAATGCGTTCCTCGCGATTGCACGTGGACTCGTTTCAAATTGGCGACGTAGACACGCACCAGAGCTGGGCAATTGGAAGACGTATAGGAAGAAGTCACCGACCCCGACGAATATATACGTGTGGATCCCCGGTCAAATAGGGGCGTTAATCCAATTACCGATTCGTGCGTTGGTCGTGGACCGATGCTAACGAAATTTTTTCTTCGATCTTGACAGGTAAGGAACATCGCAAAACAACTGATTATAATACGGTTTCTTTCAAGTAAGAAGAAAAACAGAGACTGTGGCGAGTGATAAAAAGCCTGCACGACAAGGGATTCAATTAGATCTTTAATGGAGCTGATGTACGGGACACTTATAGCCACTTGCGGTCGCTGGACCTAGCCTACACCTCCGGATGACCTGACCACAATTCCCGTGGGTCTCCCCCTCTTTCACGGTCCAAGATACCACAGAAATCGCGTATACCGTGTTAGAAATTCAGGACAGTTTGAACTTGGCTCGGGTGCAGGGCACCGGCTGAGATTCCGCTGGACGGAACACGTGGCCATCGCTGATCCGGAATTCGTGCATGTTACTTCGCCGCCTTTCCGCCCCACAAAGCACCGATCGATCATTGTTCCGTTCACTTATGATCGGATAAGCTTATTATCGGCAGCTAGTCGAAATCACGTCGAAATTTATAGTCTTCGATTGGTTCGAGAAAATCAAAGGCAACATACACAGTCACTTTGAATATATTGCAGCTTGCTATATTGCCGCGTGAGACACTTCCCCTGCACACATACTTTTCTACAGCCTCGGCAGCAATATATCAAGAGTCAACTGTATTCTGTTAGCGGATCGTAACGTCTGTCGACCGCATAATAAACCAATCAGATACCATTGGACTTTGGCGAAACTTGATGGAAAACAGAGTCATAAAGAAACGTGGTTTAGAATTCATAAATACGAACTCATAAATATGAATTCATAACTATAGCCACAGGAATATTCATCCCACCTTTGGGGTGATCGTTCAACGTCCACTGTTGCGCGATATATATCCGCAATCACAAGGGGACCATTTCGCAACGGTAGCCCCTAACGACGGAAGTTCCGTTGGTTGTTGGAGATCGATATCCCAGGGAGAAGGAGGAGGGGACGGGAAACTACGTCCAGAGATCGCGTGATCGGTCTTTAATGTTCGACTGTGTCCAACTGTCGGGAGCGATTACGATAAGAGAGAGGTGGCACGGTTGCAAGGAGCAAAACGATGAACGGAACCGGTCGAGTTTCACCGACTGCTTCTTCGGTTTGAGGAGCGTTTACGTGGCACGCGGTTAAATGTCCGTTCCGCGGGTATTCAGGGATGGGGGGGGGGGGAGGCTGGTAATTGCCGTGGTTCAGAAACCGAACCAGTTCGTGAGACCAGCGGGTATAATCGCGTACGAAGCGCGACCGATGTAATCACACGGCCACGTGAAATTAGACACGGAATATTTAAACGAGCCCGAGCCACGTGGATAATCTTGTTTTGACATTTCGCATGAACGGGAAGAACTGGTTGTAATGGGATCCGTCCGTGCGTCGTCGTCTTGCTGAAAAGAATATATACCTCGAGCAGGTTGAACGAATACTGGCACCGAGGGACCATTTTTTTTTTTCATTTCAATTTTTACGTCGTTACTGCGAGAACACGAACGAGAAAAAATATTTCCCTCGTAAATGTATTTCATGTTATTTGTGTGTCGCGTGTCAGGCACACGCGTGTATCCAGTGTTTTCACAGTATGGGCGACGGGATCGAAAAACAGTGGCCATTTTTCGAAATACAAAGAATTGTAATTACTTTCACACTGTGTAATTTCGTTCAGCTCGCATGAGGTTGGTCGTTCGTACGCAACGTGCCGACGGATTGAAATTGGAAATCGAGGGGATACGGTGAAAATTTTGGGGAAATTATTAAAACAATAGGATTATATTGATATTTGCGGGGGTGTACAAGCTGAGGGGTTGAATTTGGAGGGATTCTGAAGTACCGTTCTAAAATATTCCCAGCGGTTCTGAAAATAACGTATGAAAATTAAGAACGAAAATCAATTTTGTAACGAGGCTATTGTACGTGTGTACATGGTTAGTCATAAAAACGACAAAGTACCTTATTTCGTACTTACCTTGTTCTCTTTCGTCGACGAAATTGCACAAAACATAGGTAAGAAAGAACAAAGGATTTGCAGAAAACGGTACTCGAGTCGCGGAACATCGTGAACCGTACGCTCGACGCAATGACCGAAACGAATTAAATATAAATTCAAAAAAAAAAAAAAAAATGGAGACACGACGCAGTGGCGAAGGCTGCTGTAAATTGTTTTCTAGCGAAAACGATACATGTTTTGTCAGATGCATGAAATGCCATACGCTGCTGCAAAAATAAAGTTTGAATCTTCTAGATTCCACTCCTGTGATATTTTTTTTAAGAACGCGCCTGTGCTGGAGAATACAGTTGCTGAATTTTAATTAGAAATACTCCATACTCCCAAACATGACACGCTCGCGATAACGAACATAACTGTTTCCATTAAGAAAAGCACGTAAATGTAACAGCATTATCTCATATTAACGATACGGCTTATCAGTTTCGTGAAAAATCGAGAGAGCCAAATTTAATTCGGACACCTACAGGGCTTACGATAAAGTAGTCGTTTATATAATGTCCTACACAGTCCGAAGAATGAACGGGATTGACTGCAGGCCTATTTAATTTCGCAATTTATCGCGGTGAATTTAATTGACGCAAACGTTCGCGCGCTGCCTGGAGGTTCTCAGCGCCATCTAACAAGAACCGTTGGAAATATGTCGTCGATTACAACAGTAAATTATAAAATATACCTGAAATGATAATAATACCGTCGCGATAATAAATTACATTAGATAATTCAAACATACAAGTATTCATTATATGTACAATTAAGAAAACTATTGAATTATCGATTGAAAAGGTCATATAGGAATCTGACGATTAATTTGAAAAATAAAATATTGTGTAGTTAGTGCCATTATGATGGTTCGTTGCTGGTTAAATTCTTCATTTAATAAGCTATATTGCGAAATAATTGATCAGTCGGTAACGAAGATCCCTTTAACTTACACGTTACAAAGAGCCAGCAGCGGCAAGAGCGCCTAATTGTTCTTAATTAAAGTAAATTGAAGGTTACCAGGGGACAAGTATATGTGAACCAATCCACATCGTCGTCCTCCTTTCGACCAATCGTGAGACTCGCTTTTACCGACGACTACCAATCGCCGGGCAAACTTTATCGGCGCTACGAACGCCAATTCGATGTCCTAGATTACGCTAGCCGTAACAGTTCTGTTTTTGTAATCTGAATAATCGTTAATCACAGAAATTCCTGCAACTAAATACGAATGTTATCGTATACTCTTCGAAAGAGTTTCGCTAAAATACATTAAGTTTCATAATTAAAAAAATCTAAACATTTCATACATCTGACACTGTTCTATCGCTGCTTAACACATGACACATAACATTAATGATGAACAATTTGTTTCAATGTTAGAAAAACAGTAAAAGACATTCTAGACTTCGAATAAGAAAAATGGTACAAAGGATCGAAGAGTACTTACCTCGCACGTAGGGACGAAGGCACTAGGTCCATCGAAAGCTGGCACTGGCACTGGAAGTCCTCGATCCTGAAATGGATAAACATTTTTTCGATTTTTTTGTGACCAGTTGAAGGAAAACTGAAAATGCCCGGCTAGCTCAGTCGGTAGAGCATGAGACTCTTAATCTCAGGGTCGTGGGTTCGAGCCCCACGTTGGGCGATTAACTTTTTTTGTTTTTACATTTAAAAAAAACCTTTTACTTGTATCTTTCGACCTCACTTCTTTAAATAAATAAAACCGGAAATATCTGACTTTGCTCCATAATTGCGTTATACATATATACTTACACGAGTCATAATCGTATTAATAAAGATTAATCAATAGGTAACCCTATTGATCAATCTTTATCCACTGTACTGGCTACAAAAAGTGTCCCCAAAAATATATTCACTCAACATCAAGTAACACACTATTCAATCAAATATAAAAGATCAGTGAAGGTAACGACCCCGTGAAACTAAAGTTTCCCTTTACATTTTTTTTTTACTTTCATGGTACTTTCCGTTCAAATATTTCTCCCTCGATTTACAGTCGCCGACTAATAAACTGAACCTTGAAGCTCCTTTAAACATCACCGGCATCCAGCTTCTCCTATTTTTAGGCCATGGTTCGAGTCCGTTCCATAAATAGACAGTTAAAACAACTCCATTAACGTAACCGTTGGTCCTTTCCGATCTATAATGTATCAGAGTACCGCTATCAGCAAGGTTCGCGTGTACCGAGGACACTATTTCCGATCCTCACAGAAATAAAAATAGTCTTCCCTCAAGACGACACACGACCACGTTGGCCGTTTATTTACGAGAAACTCCGAGGGAACGTAAAATTGCTCCAGCGGAGCATTTCCCGTTTCTAAATGGTAACGACAAGACTGTCGGACAGATGTTTCCAAAACGAATAATTCAAAAGATCTAGAAACTTCTCTAGTTTCGTGTTTTCACTCATTTTTATATAGGTTTATGTCTTCGATATCTACAAACTATCATAACAATGTAATATTTATTTCAGAATTCTCTGTGTACTAGATTATAGTCTGCTCAAAACGGAACGATTATTGAAGGTCGCTGAAAAAGAAATGTTTCTACCGTCTGATCGCGACTCATACAAAGGGGAATTGTCTTTTCAGATCAGACAACAATATGTCATCTGCAATAGGAAACGACAAGATTGTACCCGAGTAAAATATCGACCCATCAAATTGCTATATATAAATTCTAATGCGAGCATTCAAATTCAGAGGTCCAATTAAATCGAATATCAAGTTAGAGAGCTCAAGTAGAATAAGTCCGGGAGAGACAGACCAGAAACAATGGACCACAGCCCCAAAACTTTATTTTCTTTATTCTGCAGCTATTTACAAAGATATTGTGTTATACTTATTACATGTGATATAAAAGATCATTCACTGCACAAACCATCCAGTACAATATTTATTATTTCCAAACTATTCGGACATATTTAAAAGTATGGACCATCTCTCCCGGACTTACCCTATCCCTAAAAACAAGTGACCAACCATTCCCTTAAAAATCAGCTTTGTCATTTCCCAATTCCAAAATATCCCTTTGTAGACACACCACGTATACAGTACTTAATTAATTACAGGATTAAACCGGCTCACCTTAACCATCTCCAATATCTCCGCGCACTTGATCCGTACGTTCTGGAACGGGCAGTTGACGCTGAGCCTCAATATCACCGGCAGATGTAACGTGACCAGGCTCAGGTACTTGTTCGCCTGCGCCTGCCTCGGCCCGTCGAGAGCGTTCCCAAGATTAAGCATCCTGCCGACATCGCCGGGCGTGACGTCAGGACTCTCCAGCACACGGCCGCTCTTCGAAGAGACATCCTCGTCCTGCGAGAGCGGTCTCTTGATCTGGCCGGCGCTGAACTTCCTCTCGTCATTCTTGCGCAGATAATCCTGCGTCTGTTCCACGGTCGGACACATCGAACGTACGTCCAGCGGTTCGTCATCCAGCGGATAGATCTCGAAATTCTTCAGTTGCATATCCTCGGCACGATTGTCGTCCGATTGCCTATGATAAATATCATTCACGGTCTCGTTCTCAAATCCATCGAGAGTGTTGAACACAACACCGTCACCCCGATTCCTGATCGTGATCTCCGTTTCATCGAACGAGACATCGTCCCCGCTGTCGTAACACCTACGATCACGCGGCATCAGATCCTTCGGACGTGTGAAATTTAAGTTTCGACCGGCGAAATTCTGGCCGAAATTCTCATCGAACTTCGGGCTCTTCCCGTAGATCCTGGTGTCCGAGTCCAGCTCGTCGTCCTCCAGCTGCTTCTGTTTCGCCCCTTTCACCTTCACATAGTTCTTGGTCCTCGGCCTGTCTTCTAGGCTGACCATCTCGTTCAATCTCTCGTTCGACGACGATCCGATGTATTTCCTCTCGCTCTCGCTGCTCGAACCGAACCGTGTCTCGGCGGAGGTGGTGTCCTTGAATCGGCGGCATCTGTCCTGGGACTCGATCTTGAAACCTTTGCCACCCTCGTCGGAGGACGTCGAATGACCGGAACGGTAACTGTCCACGTCGTATCGTCGCCTCTCGTTCGGCGTACCGTAACCGGTCTCGTTCCCAAACGTCCGACCGTCGACGCAGTCGAACGAACCGGACGGATATTTCTCGGCGCACTCTAAACTGTTCTCCTCGAGGAACGTTTGATTCTCGGTGACGCTCTGCGGGAAGAAACCCTCCGTTCTGAAGGTGTCCTGCAGCAATTGCGCTTGGTGAACGGGTGGCTGGACAGCCTGCGGCGCTGATTTCGTCGGCGATCGTTCGATCCCAATGTCGTATCTAAAAATCGATTGGAAAAAGGTGAAAACTAGAGAAGCCCTCGATCTTAAACGGCCACGATGAAAAATTCGTACAGGAAGAGTGAACGAAAATTATGGTTACGACGGGCCCACCTATCTATCCCCCCCCCCCCCCCCCCCCACGGTTCAGGGTGTCTCACAGCGGGTTTTCTCGGGCCTCTCGTCTAATGAGAGCCGCCGACCCGATCGTTATATCAACATGTAAATATTATCTTTCCCACGGAACGAGCCGCTCCAACGTTCATAAATCATTACGTATTTACGATGTGGGATAGACCGAGCCCCGTACCGCCATCGTCCATGGAGCTCTGCCCCGAAGAGAACGGGCCCCGCGAGTCGGTGAACCTGGTCGGTGCATCATGGAAACGGAATCGT